CCCCAAAACCCCAAAACCCCAAAACCCCTATTGGTGAAATTGAATTGAATTTGAGAAATCAATAAATCAATTAATACTAAATTTATCAATGAAATCATCAACCCACTCTAATATATCAGAGCAATCGCTTCTAATCTAAAACTATGCCTATTATTTCTTTATTTTAATCAAAAGTAGTATTTTATTTTCTGGAGGTAGTTAGATTGATATTCTAAAAATTTCATAAAATTTATCTTGATCAATAGCCTAAGTTTCCTTGTTAATAGTAAACTTACTCAATCTTTTAATAATATTTTCATTCACTACTTCACTTTTAGCATAAAGTACTCTAATAGTCTAAACTAGCCAAAAACTTTGAAAATACTAATCAAATTACTCTCTATCCTTTATTGATAAATCTAAATGAAAGAAATCTTCATAATCGATTTTATAACTTCCTAATTTTCCACTATGAAGCGTACCTTCTAAACTATTAAATGTTATGCTTGCGTCAATAGTGAAGGGAATAAAAATCTTAGTTCTTATGCTAATGTTAAATTCATATTGATATCCAAATTTTTCCTGATTCTCATGACTATTCTAGGACTTAATAAGGATAGGGAAATTTCTGTTATAATCTATCTTGACGTTTTCATTTTATGCAAAATACAGTTCGATATTGTAGATCTTGTTGAATTTGCTATCTTGAATTAGCCTTAGCTTGAATGGTAAAACTATTCCTTTATCAATTCTTGGCTAAATATTATTAACTTGATCAATTTCTTTGAAAGCAGATCTATGAGAATTTTATGGTTCTTTTTATTATTTTAAAGTATTCTTGATTATTTACAGATCCTGATCCGAAATGATATCTTTTAACTCTCCTGAACAAGAATTCAAAGTGAAATCTAGTTTAGGGTACATCAATTATGCTTAAGGAACTAGGGAATTATAGTACTCTTACTCTAGGATTGATGAAGCGTCATCTTAAATACCTAAATCTCTTCTCTATGACTTATCTATTTCTAATGAAATAATCTTCAAGATCTCTTCTTAACTTAATTCAATCTGCTTTATTTAGATTGGCTTGATCTCAATGTTATTATTCTTATCTTGTTTCAGAAACTGATTTTGATTTTGGTCAGTCTGAATTTTATTTATTATGCTTATTAAATAGCTAGCTTATTGACGCACCTCCAAATCATATATACTCTCTTATAATTGCAGAAGAAATTATACCTAGTTATAAAATCATTGATATATTTAATTTCTTACTATCTAAGTTTGGAATTCAAGGTCCTTATTTTTATGTATGAGATTTTTAGACAATCTTAAGATTAGTGAATCGTATTTCCAACTTTAAACATTCTTTTCACTTTAATTTTACCTCATTATTGAGATTATCTTTAGAAATTCCAAAGTCTTAAAATCATCAACGTTATTCTTCTGTTAATCAATTAACATAAGTGGAAATATTTACCAATGTCATAAAGTACATGAATGGAAAGTAATTCACCAGCCTTGATCTAGGCTAATAACTCAAAATGCTCTGGATAATCATGTTGAAGAAATCAACTATGACTGCCTTTTCATCAACCACCGATTCTAATTAATGAAACAGAGCTAATATCAGCCATTAGTAATTTGAATTCTAAATTGCTTTAGTTAATAAATTTTAATTACATACATTTCTCAGTATTTAGGAGATAAAATCAATTGCCTTGTCTATTTTCTTTTATTGGTTGTAAATGATAAGATTTCTGATTATTAAGTAGAGATTTTTGAAGAATGATATATTTTAGTTTGAATTTATCACAAGATAATCAACAAACTTATGATGTCTTTTGTTTACTTTCTTAATGTATAATTAAATAGAAAATAATCTTACAATCAATTAAGTGGAGCTAGGGTAAATATTCTATAAAGAGAGTTACGCTTGAAATAACTCATCTCTAAGAATTAAAGAAGAGCTATTAATTTTCCTAAGCTATGAAAATAACCTCTTAAATTCAGATTTGCTCTTGATATCATTGACCTTCTCATATATACTTTTAAGCCATCTAAGTGAAATCTATCTTAATGCCAGATTTTCATTGGGGTCTTCAATTTTAACTATCAGCTTATGAACTAACTATAAGGCTAATTCATCTTTTTCTGCTTGCAACATTTAATCATTTCTATTTTCAAGGATATATCTTAGAATTCCATAGTTTAGAGATAATTTTTGTTTATCTATTAGATTTTTATTATAGCTTAGAATCTAATTACTGTACTTAGTGTCTAGTTCAATTCTAAACCTTTGATTCTCAATTACAAATGAGAGCAGGAGATTTAGAATCTATACTAAATTCTGATGATCAGATATATCTTTAATCTCCCACATCTAATGAATTATGTCTAGTAATTAACCTCTATTCTCTTCTTACTTAAAAACTTCTATATTCTTGTAAAATATCGTAGAAATCAGTGAAGCGTAATGAGGAGCTGTCCAATCATTCACATTTTTAAATATTTCAATTAAGTTAGGTCTTTTTTAAGTGCAAACATCTTTTTTAGTTGGAGTTTCATTATCCTTTTTGTGAATCATGAACTTAATCAAATTAACACAGTTATTCTTTTCAAGTTCTTCTAGGCATATTGCTGCCTATCTTCTTACAAAAGCACTTTGACCTGCATTACTCATTCCAAGCCACTCTATCATTTTGTTGGCAAATGCTGCCATTCCTTCATTTTTATTTTTCTTGAACTTTTAGATGCAATAGATCAGAGTTAGAGTGTGCATATACTTGCACCTTAAAAAGTCCTGAATGCATGGCTCTAATAATTAGTTATACAGCTTTTGCTCAAGTATTTGTCATCTCTATATCATATCAGAGGAGAAAAACTTAGATGTAGTTAGTATTTCAACATGACTATCCAGAAACTAAAGCAACTAGACCTGGTGTGTGACTTGAGTCGTGACCTGTAAAGCATTCAATATCTTTTCTAGGGTTTAGTCTTTTTGTGATCTGTTTATCATTATTTGTAATTTAATATAATGCTCTAATTAATGTTTAAAATGAATATTAGCTGGCGGGGTTTTGGGGTTTTGGGGTTTTGGGGAGATC